GCTTAAAAACACCCATGTTTGGTATCAAAAACTATGTTGGAACAAAAGCAACAAAAAGCCACAGGACAGACAGCTAGAAACACCCATATTTGGTACCAAAATAACCGCTTGAAACACAGGTATAGGTTGCTAAAAATCTGCCATGTCTTTTAGCCTACCAAAAAATATGCTGGGAAAATTGCCACAGGCTGCTAAAAACATCCACATTTGGTATCTTAAATACCGCTGGAAACACAGGGACAGGTTGCTAAAAAGCTACTGTGAATGCCCATGTCTGGGATCCAAAAAGCCGCTGAAAACACGGGTACAAGCCACCAAAAATCATCCATGTCTGGAAGCCTTCCAAAAAAAAAACCATTTGAAAAACAGTAACAGCTGTTGCTAAAAACATCCATGTTTGGTATCTTAAAAGCCACTGGAAACACAGGGAGGGGTTGCTAAAAAACAACAATGTTTTAGGAACCAAACAGCAAGGGTTCACTAAAAATGCCCTTATTTGGTACCTAAATGTAGCCTCGCGTCACCAGGCTCTAGAGAGCTAGAGCCGTCTAGAGAGCGGATCCGGAATTCACCAAATTCACCAAAGTAAAAGTGTTAACCAGAGTAAAACTTTAAATTCTGGCGAACCATCGTCTCATCGCATCCTTTTGACAGGTGTAACATTATCAGGCAGTGATGTTGGCGATGCCATATTGGTGTTGTTGTGGTTGATAGAGCATGCTGCATGGTGAGCATCACTCAGTTTTCCTCTCTCTTTCGCCCCTACTGCCCCAAACTTTATCAAAAAATGGATTTACAAACTACAGGTATAATGTACAAAACTAGGATCAAGTGCCTATTAAATAAAAAACTGAAATAGACAATAACTTGTAATACAATTAAATACAATAAAAGAAAAAGGTTAACTTAATGGCTTGCGACTTTTCTTGTAAATTATATTCTTTAAATTAAAAAGTTTCACCGCATTTTTATTAGCTTGGTGCTTTTATTTTGACGGAAAGGCACATCCATAGAATTCCGGATCCTGTCTCTCTCGCCCTGGTTCTGGTTCCTTACCAAAACAGCCACCCACATTTTGCACTTGACAAGCTGCTGGGAAAACAGTGATGTGTTGCTTGTTTGTTGGTCTTGTACAGTTGTCTGCAGCTTGTCAAACATCTCACCTTGGTGTCATGCCCTCCACCATCCTCTCCACCTCCTGGTACACTACATCACTTAAGTCACCGTGATATGACACATATGAAACATACAAATGTAACGTATTCGTAGTGTGCAGAAACATACAATGCCAACATCTTCTTCCGGTGACTGAACTGTGTCCTGCAGTGGGGTTAAAACTGATATACATAGAATACATAATCTGTATTTTACAGCATTTTCCTATCATGAATATCTTGAGGAGACAGCATGTGACACTGAGCTGTTACCGTGATGTTAACTGATTGATGAAGCATCGCTGCTGAACATCGTGACTGACGGAGACAAATGATGTCGGCTTTAATATGGTATAATAAAAAAGACATTAAAAATCCAATACCATAATACCTTGGAGCTATGAAACTGTCATCACAGATATACAGAAGTGAATATAATATTCCACTCTCTTAAAATGTCTCCAGCACAGTATGAGATCATTCGACACCCGAGTGGACTTTATGATGTTTGGACATTAAGAGTTTCCTTAGATGTTCAGAGTTAAAGTGGTGCTGAGAGAATAAAGTTTGGAGCCTTCAGAATGTTTTTCAGGAATGAGATAAATGTAAAAGTGTTTTTTGAAAAATAACTCCCCGGCTCCTGCAGACAGAACACTGGGAGATGATAAGAGCTGTCCTAATTACACTAAATTATACCACTGGAGGACTTTAACACCTTTAATTATATTCAAATCATAAGTGCGTCTTCACTGAAGGAAGTAAACAACACATTCTGCTATTTGGCTCTCTGACAGCTCATAGTTCACAGGTATTAAACAGGGCGAGCTAATTAGTTAATTATCACCTTTAATATTACAGATACGTTTATTTGAAGGACGTGTGGTTTTTTCTTTGGTAAATTATTAGGTGTGTGTGTGTGTGTGATAACATGGTGCTGACAGGAGGTCTAATGTGCCTATTTTTCCATAGCAATATGTTGTATTTTATATTCTGGTCGAAGGTCAGTGAAGCAGACAAAGATAATTCCCCTGAAACACTTTGACAGAGAGCAGCAATGCTAAATTGTCTGATTCCATTATTCTTTGCTCTGTAAGTGCTCGCAGTCGATCCCACCCACTGTCCCCTGAAACAGCAAGCATCAGTGCGTGTAGCTTCTCACCATGTTCTTTATTCAAACCCTTTAATATGAAGAGATTTTCAAAATAAAAGCATAGCACTGGGACACAACAACACAGGAGAGCAGAGATAGAAGGTACAACAAGGCAATACGGAGAGGTAATTATTCTAAACTTAAAGTCCAGCTGAAATCACAAAAGCTCTCTCTTTCTGCAGCAAAAAATAAGTTAGAATTTGTTGGTGATGTTATTTTCAGTGTTGAAAGGATGTGATTGATTGACAGGTGAGATGAAGCACTGAGACCATGAGGGTTTGTTTGGTAGCTCGCTTAGCAAGTCGAGGTTTTGAATGGATTGCTGTGAAATTTGGTTCATGCATTCATGTTCTCCTCAGGATGAATTGTTATAATATTAATGACCACATATCTGCAGAACTAATGGCATTTCCATTAGCCTCTGTTGCCTACTTAGTGCTCAGTGCTAATTAGCAAATATTAGCATGCTAACATTTGCTAGCATTAGATAAGTACAGCCTCACAGAGCTGCTAGCATTGCTGTGGACTTTTAGGGTCCTATTTAAATGATCTGTAGCTCATGGTCTAAAGTGCATGGTGCAAGTGCATTACGTGGCGTCCAGCTCCACTTTGCTAATTAAATGGTGCATAATCTAGGCACAGAGTAAGGTGCACGGGGGAAAGGGGTTGTAAAACAGCAAAACTGTAGTTGTAAACTTGACAGATAAACAGCACTAAACTTTTAGCATCAAATATAATCAATAAAGTTAGGCCTGCCAGTGTTAGCAGCGGGTTTTTCGGCGCTTGTGTCAACAGGTTAGAGCAGCCACACTGCCCGCGTGAGCAGTGTTGCTCAGGTGTGGCTCAGCTGCTGCTCGGGTGCGGAACATCTATAGATTCTGAGGCTAACTGATTTTTTTTTTTTTCATGTGACGTGCGTGGTCCTGAAATGGTCTTTTGACAGTTTCAATGTCGAGATCACTCACAGACATGAAGAAATGTAAATACTTCCGTTTCACTCAACCTCTCTGTTTCTGTTTCTGTGGCGAGGCTTTTTATCATGAAATATTTGCATGACCGTGTTGTTGACGATGCAGTGGCAATTGCATGGTTCCATGAATGAGTGGAGTGTTGGCTTTTAATTGAGGAAATACAGTAGATACAGGAACAAGCAAACTCTGCAGGAGCGCTACAGCAACAACGCCGTATATGTGAACACTGCAAGCAAGCGAGCCATAGAAGTTCAGCAAAGTAGCCGTCGCACGCTGCTCATGCATGCAGTGTGGCCTGGGCCTTACACCGCTCCTCCTCCATAAATGTGCACAACGTCTCTCTTAATGGGAAGTTGGACAGCAGCTCTGCTCTGCTCTCTGCTATCTTCAGATTTTACAGATTATCATTGAAATTTTCTCAAATTATGTATGATTTCACCCACCTGCAACCCATCTGCATATCTGATATCTGCGTCCCTGTGTGTGTAATAAGCAGAGTGCATGAGTGTTGTGAAACCGCATAATGCGTCCTTTAAATAGCAGGAAAATACTGCGCCATTCTGACTTTAGACCATGTCGCTGGTCAATGGCACAATCGCTTTCTGCTGCCTCAAAATAGCAAAATGCCTACAATTCGCCTGACCACCACTCATTTTAAAACCTACACAGCCATGGGCACACAGATGTGCACAAATATATTTACTACCTACACAACGTGGGCGCTGACTGTGGAAATGACAACTGCGTCAGTCTGAAACTAGCTGTAACAGTTGCTCTGCATTGTGCACCACTTTGCACCACGTGTAAAACAGGAACTTACGTTTTGTTTCTCAAAACAGAGCACAGGATTTAAGGGATAATTCTGGAGGTCTGCTGCAGAAAAAAACATGCAATTCAATTTCAGCCGGACTTTAAAACAATCAGCGAGAATACTGTTTTATGTTGAAGCTAATACACTGTACAAAAGCTGATTCCAACACCAGTTATCTTACAAGTGTATACAGTACTGGATGCTTCCGTCAAGCAAATTTCTATTGGCTTTCAAAAGGATAAAAGAAGTGCATTTTTGAAAAAACATGCAGCTGCAGTCACACACGCGCACACACACACAGACCGTATTCACACACCCACAACATCAGATCAGTCCAGAGTGAGGAGGAGCATCTTCATCGGGGATTCTACTCATCGTCAGGGTCATTGCCGAGTTCAGATACAGTCTGTATTGCTTTGGCAGAGAGCACACTGAAAAGGATACGAAGCCCTGTCCATCATGTTCATTAAATATTGACAAATGAATCTAAAAGTACTAATACCACACGTGGAAAATACTCCACTACAAGTAAAAGTTCTGCATTCAAAACCTTAAGTGTATTTAACATACTTAAAGTAAGAGTATTCACCATGCAGTCAGTGTTTTCCTTATTCTGTCTGATGTTTTTGGATTAATATTCCTGCTGCATTAATGTGTATGTGTCATTTTACTGCTGTAAATGTTTCAGGTTGTGCTCATTTTAACTCCTTTATATACTGTTGGGTGGTTATATCTAAAGCAATGCATCATATTCTATAAGATCATCATATGTTCGTAGTGTGGCTGTCCTGTGAGAGCCATGCATCCCGAAAGTAAACTTTTCATGGTGTCAGAGAAACAGCTTTGTGACGATGCATTTTCCAGCTGATCCAAGAGGGATTTTAAAGAGTTTATTTAGCTTGAGAAGAAGGATGTTCTCAACACATAAAGGAGCTCTTCATTCTTCAGTTTATCACAAACATTCAGCATCAAAACATCTGGAGATATGATGGTTTTCACTGGACAGGAAGGGGATCAAAAGTTGGGAATCTGAAAAGTAACTAAAGCTGTCAGACAAATTTAGTGTAGGATTGTCAGTTTCGGTTACTTTTGCTTTCGATTGGCTGACACCTATGAACTAACTGGGTAATTTTTAAGAACAAAAGATGTAAAATACAAGAGGCCTTTGCTTTAGTCTGGTGCTCCACTGCCTCAGTGAGCTTCAGCGCTGCATTTCAAAGTGCTAACCATTTAGAGGTGGTGAAATTCAAATGTGTTGTGGTGTAAATGCTTTACATATTATTTTATTTTCTTTGCTAATAGATGGGGGCATTAACGTGAAAACATGCCTACTGCCTACCCTCAGGTCTCCACTGTTTTTTTGGTCACTCTGCACTGCGCACCGCCCAGGTCAGGTGGGTGCTAACGCTAGCTAGCTAGTGGTGCCGCTCATTCAACGATTACCGCTGATAATGCCCATAGATTTCTAATAATACCAAGATACTGGATGGCAAGATGTTGCCGATTGATCCCATTGGCATTGTTCACCTGGCGTATACGCCAAAAACAGTTACTAGCTCCTGGGTGAATAGGCGCAGTAGTGTTTCTGCTGCTGGCCCTGCCCGCAAGTTCCTGCCTGGCTCATAGACTTTACATTGTGATGACGTCACTGATTTTACAAATATAAAGAGTCATAATTAAGCTTCTTTGCAGCTTGAAGTGTCCTGTCAACAGTTTTACAGACATCTCTTTTATAATGGTAGTCTATGGGGAAAATTCTTTTTGGTACACAAGGGATTTTTGTCACAGCAAATCTGCAATGGCTACTGGGAAAAATTGGCTGTAAGACTGGACAGCGTTCCTGAGGCCTGGTAACGCCCTCCTGGTGGGATGTGTTGCTGACTCTGTGCCCACCCTCCGGTCTACCCCCAGGGTAGCACCGCTTCATTTTGAGCTGCCAAACCCCTTTTGCATTTTTAACTATGTTAGCACCATAGCCGTGTTGACACTTCTAACGATGGTAACAGAGCTAACAGTGATAACATTTTCAACAATGCTAAAGGGGGTTTTACGGCTCAAAATTAAGCCGCATAATGTTACACACTGGAGCAAGCTGGGGGGATACCAGACGGTGGGCACAGTGTTTCCATGGAAACGTTGTTGGGTTGGGATGGTGTTACCAGCCGAAACTGCAGGAAAAGCGACACCACAAGCTAGCTAGCTCATAACAGAAACATCCCCCTGCAGAGCGGGAGAGGCACCACCATTTTAGACTTGTGCATGTGCGAGTACCAGACTCCCAGTTGTACGGATGGAGATTGCTAAATACATATTTTAAATAGTTGTTGTAAAAATAACATTAACCTTACGTTCACAAATGGTTGTTTAAAGCAGAAATAGAAAACGTTTCTACTACCTAGAGCACTAGCTAACACTGTCTCCATATTAGCTCCTTAATCATGGACCAATAGAGACTTTCACCACTGGTTATTTTAGGAAGACCACTCAAAGGAAACGTTGTCTTTGTTTAGATTAACATTTTATAGTCGAAATAGACAACTTTTCAGCTCACTTAGCTAGCATTAATTATGCTATAATTTAACACATTTTCTCACAGTGGTCCTTCTAAAATGAGCAGTAGCTGAAGTTACTATATTCCATTATGATCGGGGGGTTGATACGCAGACGCTAGCTAGCATTAGCATAGCTAGCTAGTTGAAATGTTGCCTACTCCCACTACGGTGAAGTGATTGGCTGCATTAAAAACTAATACGTTTTTGACTGACAGGGGATTGTAAGCCTCTGATTGGCCACATTAAAAAATGATTGATAGATACCCCGTCCTCTCGAGCTCGTGCATGCATGCACACGTCTAAAATGGTGGCTCTGAAATTCACACATGCGCACTCCGTCTCTGCATGATGATATTGGATCCAGGTTGTGCACAGTGTAGTAAACTTAAGAGTAGCTAAATGTACCTATCGACTGACATGTGTAACCGGTCAAAAATATTCTTGGTGGTTAACCGATTAACGATTAACCACTGACATCCCTCAGGTGCAGTAAAAAGTATAATATTTAAGATGAAGTGGAGTAGAAGTATAAAGTTGCATACAATAGAAATACTTAAGTAGCCTCAAATTTTATCTTGAGTACAGTACTTGAGTAAATGTACTTCGTTACATTCCACCACTGCCTCAAACACATGCACTGACTTCCTGCGTTATTTTTAGTTTCAAGGACGGAGAAGAAAAAAATCGCAGGTGGAGAAAAGATTAAAGGAGGTGGGGGGAGCAAACACCTCAGCTCGTATCACATTCACACAACGAGTTTCCATCTTTCATGCAGCCTCTGCTGATTCTCTTGCTCTAGTTTTTCCTTGTTAAAGCCTCTGGCTATCACCTTAATGAGAGATTCCCAGAGAGAGGTGTAACACCCAGCACTTCACAGAGACTTGGGAATAACAGCTCCATCCGTCATAACGTACATGACAAAGTTACAGCTTTACATGGAGGAAGAAGCAGAAGGAAAACAGTGAAGGGAATAGGCACAGAGAGGAAGGATGCTCACATTTTCCCTGATCTTGTGTTCTTTGAGTGCCCATTTTATCTCCGATAAAGGACACTTAGTGATATTTGTTCTCTTCCAGTAAGACCCTTAGGCAACCCTCCTCTACTCCCATGCACACACACTCACACAAAAACACATCATTTGTACTTTAAATTACTGAACACAGACCCTGTATCCTCTTGACTTCCGTTTCAAAATATAATCAAATCATTCTTCTTCAGAGTAATTGAATATACAATTACAGCATATTCTTAAATAACATTAAAGATAATTGTTTTGGCCACTTGACTGTGGCTTTCTGAAATCTCCCTCTTTGTTGGTGCTGCTGTGACTCAGCCAACAGCATTCAGACAAACAAGGCGAAGAGACAATGGACGCAATTTCCTCCTAATGTACAAGTGTTTATGTCGATTCTGAAGAAGGTCAATCCCGGTCAAAAACAGAAAGAAATAAATTGTTCAGATAAACTGTCTTTGTGTCCGCCAGCAGTTCAAAACACAACACTTTTCTTTCTAGAAGAACGTACCCTTTGTGTCCCTGCACAGTATCCTCTTGAAGGCCTTCCTGAAATCGTTGTTGAAGATGGTGTAAATGACCGGGTTGAGGCAGGAGTTGCAGTAGCCAATCCAAAAGAAGAACTTAAATAAGGGGTTTGGGATGCTGCAAGTCTCGGGGCACACCGCCTGAAGAGAGTAAGAGAAGAAGAAGGGGAACCAGCAGATCACAAACACTCCCATCACGACAGCCAACACGAAGGTGAACCTCTTCTCCCTGTTCACCATGGCTTTGCGGCGGGATGTGGGCGTCCCCTGAGTCTTAGGTGTCTCCTCAGGTACCAGTTTGGTGCCAGATGCTGTGGCCACTGTGTTTTTGTATCTGGACGCCAGGTTCAGCATCTGAACTTTGAACCCTTTATTTTGGGATGATACCAAAGTTTGCTCGCCAGTCTTGTTCATCTCGTGTTTGCTGTGAACGCCTTCCTCGCCCATTTCAGAGCCAGAGCTGGACGAGTTGTCGTGTTGCGCTTCCCCCCCTTTGTCAGGATGCATCTGGGACTCTTTGTTAGGAACAGCTGAGAGGATTTGGCTGTCACGTTGGGGAATTGAGGGGGAAGAGGTGGATTTTTGGATCGGAGCTGCACTGGAATTAGCAGGGTGGTGCTGAGTGTCCTGGCTTGTGGTTTTCTCAGGCAGTTTTTGAAGTGATGACGGGGTGGAATCACAGCCAGACATTTTGGTCAGGACTTTTTCTTGTTGGCCGGCCGGCGTACCTACTTGATCCCCGTTCTGTTGTGACTGCTCGGATAACTTCGGCGGAGGCTCATTAGTTCCGACATTGGCATTTCCTCCTGCTGCTGCTTTATGTTTCTGTCCAGGCGGGCAGCGTGTATGCTGCTTAGCGATCTGATAAATCCTCACATACACCAGGATCATTATCACACAGGGGGCGAAGAAAGAGCCAATGGTGGAGTAGAGAATATACCAGCGTTCATTGTTTAGCTCACACACCTCTTCACCTCCCTCGCTCTTGTCCAGCGTGAGAAGAGGAGGGAAAGAGATGACAGCAGAGATCAGCCAGACTACAATAATGGCCGCCTTGATTCGTGTTGGAGTACGTTTGGCGCCGTAGGACACGGGCCGAGAGATTGACAGGTAGCGATCCAGTGCGATAGCGCACAGGTGCACAATGGAGGAGGTGCAGAAGAGAACATCCAGCGCCAGGTAGATCTCACACCAAATGGAGCTGAACGCCCAGTAGCCCTGCAGCTCGTTGGCCAACGAGAAGGGGATAATAAGGGTGGCCACTAAAATATCTGCTGCAGCCAGCGACACCAGGAAGAGGTTCTGAGCCCCCCTCAGGGATCGGGATGTAAGGACGGCGATGATGACCAGGATGTTCCCAACGATAGTGAGGATCATCATGAAGGTGATTGCGATGGCAAAAGCTGCGGTGGCTTGCGGGGTGTAAGGTGAGGTCCTGGTGGTGCTCCGGTTGCAGGGGCGGGACCCGGAGACGAGGCTGATGTTCCTGTTGGGGAGACCGCCAAGCTCCGACAGGCAGGGGGCATCTGGAGCAGCTGCCATGGTGGTGACGGGGGGAAAATTACAAAATGAGAGACGGTGACAGGGTGTTTCTGTGGTGAACCATTGAGAAACTGGATTTTTTTTTCCAGTTAGAGGAGAGACTGAGGGGCCGGATGGTTGTCGGTCAAGGTGAAGCCATGTGATCTACAAGAGAGAGACACACATGACGGTCAAGATATGAGTATAATCCATGTTGTTTGCATGTTGTATATATAGATAGATAGATAGAGAGATAGAGAGATTTCTAGACTATAAGCAACAAAACATGATAAACACACAATACATACACAGTGGCAACTGGGAGGACAGTGAGAATTCCTAGTCGTCTGGTACTATAACAACACTTGTACTTAGTATTTTCATGTCATGCAACTTCATACTTCTAGTTTAGAAGACACTAAACATTGTTAAAATTAAACAACAACTTCTGAACTTTTCTGGTTTATCTAACACAAGACATCAGTTTATATACTGAACAAAAATTTAAAAGCGGTTGGATGTACTGCCAAATTCACGGAGATGACATTATAGACAGTTTATGGTAGTGAAGTGAATTTGTGTGCATTTTCTTTGCCAATGTTCTGAAAATTCGCTTTTAATTTGACTCTTGTTCTTCTGTAAGCCACTGGGTTTATGTCACATTCTGTACACTTAACATCTACTGCATCTGTACATTGTGGTGATCCCAAGCACCTTCTGTCCACCCCAGATTGCTCCCAGTGGTCAGTTGCTGGCCTGACCACCAGAGCCAATTTAAGCTCAGATAAGATGGATAACATAAAACTTTATTCATCCTGAGGGAAACTGTTGTTCAGCAGTTGCAATAAAGTTTGTGCAGTGAGCTGCATGGTAGCATTTGGTGTTTGAGTGCAAATTTTAAAGTGCCTTTGATAAAAGAACTATATGCTTTCCTGACCTGAATCAAGGTTTCTGAAAGCCAGTTCACATTATTGTGGATAATACGCTTTTGTGTGTATGCTGAGGAATGAACAGTGTATCTGTGCTGCTGTCCGTTCAAATTTAATTGCCTTTATTGTGCAGCCAATCATTGTTTACGACTGCAGGAACTAAAAGACGGACAGTAAACTAAGAAGTTGGCATTTCACATTTCTAGAAGTGGACAACAACAAACTGAACACTGATAGAGACAACCAACAAACACGACGTATGCTTGGCGAAATATCAGCACCTTATGGAGGCCTTGAGAAGCGAGGTGAAGTTTATCTCCTACGTATGGGATGTAATTTTCTGCATAGGAGATAAACTTTTGGCTTTACTAGGCTGTTTTCAGAGTGAGAGAGAGCTGTGCAGAATGAAGCACTTAGTTCATGATACAAAGGGCATTAAAAGTTTAACCTAATGCAGTGTAAACAGAAGGTTTTACCTTCTCACATCCAAGCCACACTGCCTGTGTGAGCAGCATGTGTGCATTGTGGAACCTCTTTTTTTTTGTTTGTTTGTTTGTTTGTCTTTTTTTTTCAGTGCCCGTGTAAACAGGTTTAAGCAGCCACACCACCTGCATGAGCAGCATGGCTCACGCTCTGCACTGGTACGAAAACTCACCTATTGTTTCACTTATTGCAAAACTAGCCGATGAAAATGGTCTTTTTATTGACATCATACCACCTTATACTCCAATTTCAACGCGTCTATCTATCCCAGATGTGACAAACACTCAAAATACTCCACACTTCCTGTTTCCATTTCAAAATAAAAGCCACCTGACAATATTTCCGTGGTAAGAAACCCATTCTTGGAACCCATCTGCTGTATTCAGCGTCTGACTTCCAGCAGACGGCGATACAGCCTCTGGGGGCAGACCCCCGATTTTTTGGCATTCCGGTTTAATTTGGGCGGAGGAGGCGAATTTCCGTTTCCAACTTCCATTTATGTATAAGTAAATATGCTGAAACATTGCAATGGATTCAGAGTTTGCAGTGACAGCAATTATGTTTCACCTCGTTAGTTCACCGCACGGACTGTTTAACCTGGCAACAACTGCAGCCGGCTCAAACGCGATTGATCAATAGCCTTGCGTCACCAGGCTCTTCACATCCTATGCAGAAAATTACGTCCCAGGCTCTTCACATAAAGTGAAGAGCCTGGGACGTAATTTTCTGCATAGGAGATAAACTTTTGGCTTTACTAGGCTGTTTTCAGAGTGAGAGAGAGCTGTGCAGAATGAAGCGCTTAGTTCATGATACAAAGGGCATTAAAAGTTTAACCTAATGCAGTGTAAACAAAAGGTTTTACCTTCTCACGTCCAAGCCACACTGCCTGTGTGAGCAGCATGTGTGCATTGTGGAACCTCTTTTTTTTTTGTTTGTTTGTTTGTTTGTCTATTCACTCCGAATTTTGTCTGGATTCTGGTTCCGGTCTAGAGAGCGGATGCCGAATTCACCAAATTCACCAAAGTAAAAGTGTTCACCAAAGTAAAACTTTAAATTCTGGCGCACCATCGATTTGGGGTGATGAGGGGTGTAAGAAAATCGATTAACTTAATGGCTTGGGGCTTTTCTTGTAAATTATATTCTTTAAATTAAAGTTTCACTGCATTTTTATTAGCTTGGTGCTTTTATTTTGACGGAAAGACGCATCCATCGAATTCCGGATCCTGTCTCACTCGCCCTGGTTCCGGTTCCTTACCAAAACGGCCACTAACAGCCCCAGACTAATTGATCAATATCACGCGGACTACAAACAGCCTACAACTGGAAACCAGGGCTCTTCCGCTCTTCTTCTGGAGGCAAGATCTCCGGGGTTTGACTACAGACTGTCTGTAGAGTCTGTATATAGAGACTATAAGAAACCCTCCTCTTGTTGGTGAGCAATCATTACCAGTACAGCCAGCATGGTGGTTAGCATTGTTACCTCACGGTAAGAGGGTTCCTGGTTCAAACCCAGGGTGGGGGAGCCCTTCTGTGTGGAGTTTGCATGTTCTCCCTGTGTCAGCGTGGGTTTCCTCCAGGTGCTCCAGCTTCCTCCCACAGTCCAAAGACATGCAAGTTAATTGGTGACTCTAAATTGTCCGTAGGTGTGAATGTGAGTGTGAATGGTTGTCTGTCTCTATGTGTCAGCCCTGTGATAGTCTGGTGACCTGTCCAGGGTGAACCCTGCCTCTCGCCCGATGTCAGCTGGGATAGGCTGCAGCCTCCCATGATCCCTAACAGGATAAGCGGTTACAGAAAATGAATGAATTAATAAATTAATGATACACCACCAATATAAATCTCTGATTAACCCACCACAAGCATTTCAAATAGAAGCCAACAGGTCGGGTTTGCTGCTGTTTCAGCACCATGGAGAGCTGCTGCTTAAGTGGCAACCACCATGCCACGTAGAAGATAACATCCAGTGCATCGGTGATAGTATCTCACATGTAGGAGATTAACTTGGCCAATATTGCCTGTAATATCTCAAAGCTTCCGTTGCATCTACCAAAACGCAGTTTGAGTCTCTGAAACAGCAATCTACTGCTAACCACATTAGCACTGTAGCTAAGGTGGGACACACAGCACAGGACCTTTGCTTTGCTTCTGTAATGTGAAAACACCTTCAGGACAGAGGGTCCCATATACCGTACACACTGTGAAGAAGATGTCTGTGATTTGTAATATTTTGCTTTATACAGTAAATAAATCTGACTCGACTCCTGTTTGCTTGTATTTTTAAATGTTATTTTTTGCAGAGTCAGGTCAGGCATGATGATGATGAGGATGATGAGGGTAGATGGAAGCAGAGAGACGGATTAAAGTATTTTTGTCAGGATCTTTTTAGTAAATAAGACGAGTCAGTGCAGGACTATATTGTTATATTTTCAGAAACCTACAGTTAATTTTAATGTGTTTTGTTTTTTTGAAGCTGCCACATTTGAGGCTTGTTGCCTTTTATTGCAACATTTTCCTTATTTAGGTTTTATGATCCTTTTCCATAATGAAATCATACTCTATATGTCCATTTCTGCAGCTCTTTCTGCTCATTGGTTGGTTTAATATTCCTTATTTGTGCAAGTCGTTTAGTCCAGTAAGATTATGTTGTTGTGGGGCACAAGCTGCCTGCGCCCATATATTCTTTACGCCAATTGTCCAAATTCAAACAGTAAATTTTCAGTGTTTACTCCATAAAACGAGCCCTCTCACAGGCAGACAGACAGATATTTCCACAGTAAACATGCTGCTCAACAGAAGGGAATCAGTTATTTTCCTGAATCTCTGATGCAGACGTGAGTGTGTAGGAATAATCTCCAGCTGCAGCCTTAAAATAAATGTAAATTCTGACTTACAGGAATATGTGGAGCTTCACTTGAGCTGCGTCAGTGCGTCATTCCACGTGAAGAACTTTAAAAGTTTATTTTCGTGCACGGATTTGCAGAATACGGACTAAACTATCCGGTGGAGCTCCACTTTGTGTCCGGTAACAGAGGCAGAGAGTCCACCCTGGGTGCACTGATCTCCTCAGAAGCGCCGGGTCAGGACTGAAGACAGCAGAGCAGGGAAATATAAAATCCAGCTCGGTGTGTGGAGATAATGTTGGAAATAAATTCGACACTTTAAAGTTTTCTTTCAAAGTAAAACACAGGATTGTGGACACCCAGAATGAAAAGCTGATATATCCGTGTGCGGGGCTCCTCTCTACATCCCGGGTTGTGGTGTCAGTCCGGCCGCTGGAGACTCTGTGCTCTCACTGGGAGATGTGGAGGAACTGATGCGGATGTTACCGGATAAACGACGACGCGCTTTTTACGCACAGCTTCTTCTTGTGGTGTCCAAAGTGTCCACGGACCGGCGGTGCGCTTCATGTCCACTCTGAGAGCTAAAGGTGAACCAGCGTGTGTGAGCGTCACATGTGGGGTGGATTTCACTTTCACTGACATGGGAAACGTTTCATCTGTCATTTTCATGTCGTTTGGCGCGTGTACAGCGATTTATTTTACGCACGCAGCTTCTTACTAATGATTTTAATGATCAGCAGCCGCTGTTTTCATAATCCAGTGATTAAACAAGTCATTTTAAAAGCAAACATTCACGTTACAGCTTCTCAAATGTCAGGGTTTGCTTCTTTTCTTGGTCACGTTGACAGTAAACGGAATATTTTGGGGGTTTTGGTTGGTTGGAGTATGAATAGATAAATAGATAAACAGATAAATAAAAGAAAAGAAAAAACGCGAGGAGTCATGTTGGACTCTGAAATTAAAATCTGTAATTTTCCACAGTGTTTTGACCTTTGAATACATTTTGCTGAAAAAAACATTTTTGAACAATTTAAAATGCACAAACTCCTAATTATGATGATAACATTTATTTATACAGCACCTTGGAAAACATTTTTGCTTTAAAAAATATTGAATTGTTTATCGATTATCAAAATATTTAATATCACAAACAGAATACTCAAGAAAACTGAATATTTCTGTGATGTGGGACTGTTGGATGAAGAAAATAAGACACTTGAAGACGTCACATTGCACTCTGGAAAAGGTAGACTTTTATTTAGGCTATGTAGTATTTTCTATCTTTTTACTGACTAGAACTAGAGGTTCTTAAGTTAATGTTCACCCTTTGAAATATTTGGTCAGATAAGTGCATTTTTGCAGTTCAACATGTCATTATCTGACTGATTTTTTATAATGGTCATTATAATAGAATTATTTTAGGAATAATGCATGACTGGTAGTTTTGAAATTAACATTAAAAAATATATAGCTGCAAGCACAATTTGGGGTTCTTTAAAAGTTGAGAGCTGGGTAAGATCAGGACTTTTGACCGTTCAGGACGCTGCATTAAAGATAACCAACAGATTTTATGACAATCAGACACATGGCTGTTCATTAACGTCGTAATTTCTTCCTTCTCCTTACTGTTGCTTCCTGTTGGTCAACCGCAGGAACATTCTGGGGACATGCTGTTATAGTTAAAGGCGCCATATGTAAGAATGTGGCCAAAACGGTTACTGCACTCAAATTCAAAATACCGCGAGTCGTGTCCGCCCCCCCTCCCCTACAGATTTGAGGCTGCTGGACAGCAGCACGCTGGAGACTGACGGCAAAAATAGAAGTCCTGCATATCTGTTGTGGAGGGCTCCGGAGTGCCGCAGCTGAGACGGAGCCAGAACGCAGCACAGCCGCAGCCAGTGGAAACACACACATTGACTAGAACTGAATCCTAAAAAATGAATAACAGTTGAAAGTATTCGAAATGTCCATCCCCGTCGAGCTATGATGCTAGTTAGCCAACTTTGGCTAAAGCTTACCTGTCGAGGAGAAGAGTAGCCACTTAGACATCAGATTTCAAATTCTTCTCAGCTTTCAACCGTCTCCACCGTTCAAAAGCATCTCCTATATAGACCCTCGCTTTGCCTCGAGTTTTGTCTTGGCGTTTTTGGGAATCATAACAAGGTGGTTTGGGTTTAGTTGCACCGTCAGCCATTGTAGCTCAGTCGTAACTGTAACTGATGCTGAGACTCTACTGACTGCGTGACTGGAAGACGGCGGTGGGTGGCGCAACAGGCCAAAACACAAATTCAAAACATAAACATGATTTGCAGACCGTAAATTTTTTTTAAATGCGAATATTCTGGCTGTACTATTGTTGTCGGAGAGATCAGTATGTTATATGAACATTATTCCTTAGTCTCTGTGACATATTAGGAAGATTTTAAAACTATTTGCTTTAGATTTCTTACATATAGCTCATTTAAGTTAAAAAAATCCACTGAGTTTGGTGATGTTTGAACAAACCCTCGTTGATATATGGCCAAATTTTGTGAAACACCATTGCCCTTGTTTGGAACTTGTGGCGCCCCCTATTGACTGATTTCAAAATAATTTAACACATGTGGTTCCTGGTTATTAATTAACATACTCTGCAAGTTTTGTAATGTTTGAACAGTACATTTCTGATTTATAGTCTGATTTGTGTTATGCCACACCCATTTTTTTTGCATGTGTTGCGCCCCCTAGTGGTCAATTTAAATAAAAATTTCAGGATATGTTCCTGGTGCCTCTTCAGACATTGCCTGCAAAGTTTGTGGTGATTGGCCACGTCCCCTCTAAAGTTCATTGGTTAAATCTTCAAAAAGCAATCAGATATCAATAACAGTTAAAGCATCTGTGATAAAATTCAGGAAAAAATCTGACATCATTCTGCTGGTTTTAGGTATATTGTCAAATATTTTGGTGACATTTGGTTAAAAATGAGATGAAATAAAAAATGTTGTGCAAACTGTACAAATTACAACAAGATATTGAATTTCACTGTGGGCGAACCGTTAAACAATAATAATAATAATAATAATAATAATGAAACAGCACGAAAACAATAGGGTTTCAGCCCTTCAGGCTTGAACCCCTAAAAATCTTATGTATCTGCAGTACTCCAAAGTACCCCTAGGAGTACTCATACCCCCATTTAAGACACACATGACTAAACCATTGATCTATTAATTGAAATAATTACTCACTCGCTCACTCACCCCTCCCGTCGGGTAAGTGACGGTGGCCTCGTAGGACAAAAAGCCTTGCGCAGACGGCAGAGTTTTTCGAGTTTTTCAGGAGTATCTAGCGACGAGGTGAATATTTATTTAGGAATCTAAACCATGTTACGATATGTTATAGCTTACCAGTGAGATATAGGTTATCTGTGAGATATTTGTTAGGAGTGTTTTATTTCTAATTGTTTTGGTAACACGAGCATTAGCACAGTAATGCTAAAATAACACATTTTATCTGATAGTCACGGCACAGTGCGGCAAATATAGGTTGGTACGATTATAATATATGCGTTTCCAGAGTGATCTTCCACAGGACACAGGGAGATGAGGGAGAGGGAGAGGAGGAAAACCAGGGAGAGGGAGGGGGCGAGGTGGTAGAGGCGGTGCAGGAACGGCCAGGTGAAGAGGTGTGTCTCGGCCACCCTCTCCTCCACCAGAGGAATCAACAGGTTAGGCTGTAGGCTAGGCTAACCATTTAGCTGTAGCTCTGGGATAACGTTAGCCAAGGCTAGGATAACGTTAGCACGTAAAAGTAGCCGTCACTCCAACTTAGACGAGAGGGAAAAGTAGTTGCAAACATGAAGCCAAAATGATTTTAAAATATCAGATTGAATTACCTGTCTAGCAGAAAGCAGGCAACCTCTGCATCCCTTGTGAAATCCTTCTTTCCACCTGGAATAAGCAACGCCGATATTCACTCGCGTTTTGTCCCGTCCTCGCTTATCTGATCTTTTTCTTTTATTTGGTGGCGTGGTTTCCCTCTTACGGGGCAAAACGTGTGTGGTCCTCCATTTAAAGTGCGACAGAATCATAAAAGTACAAAGCAGGTTCACGCAGAAGTGCCCCGGATTGAGTTTCACCTTAACCGTCTCCAGTGACGGCAAGTTCTAGGTAAACGCAAAAGGCAAAGCGCGTATATCCCTTTAAGCCACTGTATTCAAATATGGCGACGCAAGACGGCAGCCTCCAGCAGACCCTGCCTGTGTATATATAGAGAAATCATTCTAAGCCTATGAGAAAGCTTCCATTTGTATGTGAATTGCATTACACTTTAGCAAATATATATTTATGAAAGCAATAGTTGATATTTGCTAATAAACAACCACGTAAATTACACATTGTAACTTTAAAACCAGGTTTCTGGCTACCTCAAATTATGTTGCCATACCTTGATTACAGTGTAAGTTATTCATATTCATTTTGTCCGTAAGGGTCCTCAGATCAAAAGAATCAAAAGAGTATTGTTTTAACAGGATAAAGTGGTGTTGTGTCAGTGTGCCAGGTGCTGTAGCTCTCTCTCTGATGCTCTGTCTGTTGGAGCTAGATCAAATAAATGATTCATAATTGACCTAACCTTTAAGAAACACGTTAAGCATGTGTGTAAAACCGTAAAATTCAGGTATATTCAAAACCAACTCCCCTTCGATGCTGCAAAAACACACATGCATTCAATTATTTTTTCACATATTTCTCACTGCATTTACAAGCTGGTCACAATCTGGAGAAGCAACACGCTGCATCATGTTATCACCACTGTAACATCATTCAAAGGCATGATCTACTGACCTTTGACAGCTGCGTGTGCTTTACTGATGCCAGTCTAGTGTACAAAGTGATTAAAGAGTTCACACAGCTACAGCTGGAACTCAGTACCAAGTGAGATCAGACAAATTTAAGATGAAATCATGGCTAAAATCAACCCAGTCATGTTCCCATCACACATGAACTCACACTTGACGCAGAATTTCTGTACAAGTAATATTCGTATTGGTTAAAATAAACAATTTGATTGTTTTTCCCATCTTTGCTGAGCAACAGTTTTGTGTGACAAATAATAGCCCGGGCTATTTATTGAAGTTTGACAGTGTGATCTCCTCGTTCATTATGACTCTGACGTCTCTGCTGCTTTAAAAATGTGAGTTAGCTCAACTTAGATTGAATAAGTTGGTTCAAAATCGTCTTTAAAATACAAAAAAGAGGCCCATCAACCAGTGCATGCTGGGAAGTCTGCTCATACACTGATTATGCTTCTTTAAATACTCAATGAGTTGAGTGAACTCTCAACAGTTCATTCACTCAACACATTAAAGGTCAAATGAACTTATTAGCTCAGCAGTGGCTTTGATTAACTAAAAAACTAGACATTTTTTGAGTTAACTTTAAAACTTTATGTTGATATTTATGTTTAGTTCATGACAAAAAATAGTTCCCTTGTGATAAACTTG